AATATATATTTACCGGAACTGCCTGTAAGAAACTCGAGTCATTCATGACAAAAACCATAAAACACTTTATTGTTTATGATTATCATTCAGGTTTTATTGGACCGATTAAAACTATTCACAACTGTGTTAAATAACATTAAATATATAATCCCAACCAATTGGCATTTATGGTACTTTGCATCCTAGATATGAATAAGTTCAAATATTAATTAGAAGTTGAACGTGACCTTCAGATGATCTAGAGTATTTGTTGCATCCGAACGAAGAACGAATGGAAAAAGAAGATCCTCTAACACAACACGGAGAACAGCAATCCAGTCACTCTTGATGGCGAAACTCTGGAAGATATGGAATCCTTCACATACCTGCAAAGCATCATCGATGAACAAGGAGGTTCAGATGCAGACGTAAAGGAAGGGATCGGCAAAGCAAGGGTCGCATTCCTACAATTGAAGAACATATGCAACTCAAAACAACTTTTCAATCAATATCAAAGTCAGAATTCTCAATACGAACGTCAAGACAGTCAGTTTTGCTGTATGGAGTTTAAACATGCAGAACTACTACAACCATCATCAAGAAGGTACAAGTATTTATAAATAATTGTCTACGCAAGATACTCAACATCCATTGACCGGATATCATCAGTAACAGCCTACTGTGGGAGAGAACAAACCAGCTTCCATCTGAAGAGGAAATTAGGAAAAGACAATGGAAATGCATAGGACATACATTGTGGAAGTCATCAAACTGAATCACGGAGCAAGCCCTAACTTGTAATGCTGAAAGGAAACGGAAAAGAGGAATGCTGAAGAACACATTACATGGGGAAATGGAATGAAATATGAAAAGGATGAATAACTACTGGAATGAGCTGGAAAGGATTGGGAAGGACAGGGTTGGATGGAGAGTGCTGGTGAGCGGTTTATACTCCTCCAGAAAAGGGTTAACAGGAGTAAATAAGTAGTCACATACATCATCATCGGAAAATTATAAAGTAACTACGTTATCTATTTCTATATTCTTTCTATCATAATCTTTCGTGTGATATATTAGCTACTGTTATCCGACTTATAATTCTTAATTTATTCCTAATCTATTGGTTACAGTCTCCCATACTGACAGCCACTCCGAGCTTGATCTTGTGTGATTATTACTTTTTATTTTATGGTGTAATATGGTCTGGTCTGCTTGTATATAAACAATCTATGTCTGAAATATACGATTCATAAGGTGAAGACTGAGATTGTGTTCTGCACTGAATGAGCAGGGCTGCTAGGCATGTTACTATATCAGAGTTGACGCAATGCTGTTATTGCTGGTTGACATGTCATTGCTTTAGCACAAAGTCAAGGTTATATCACATGATAACTCATAGGAGCAAAAGTCATAACAATATTTATGGCCGAAAAGGAGAGATTTGGAGGTGGTGTTATTTGGGCACAGTGGTGATAGACTTTGTACTATTATCTAAATGTAATATATGGGATGATAGTGAATATATTTATTATTAAAATGGGGTTTTGTAGAGATTTTAGTGATTTTATTAGTTGAATTCATGAGTTGGTTTAAGCTAGGCCACTATTGAAAACCTGGAAGTACTGGACGGCCATTTCGTCGTAGTATGAGACTCCTTAACAGTGTGCAAGTACGATCTTGTATTCGAAGCTCGAATCCAGGATCGCGAACGCCTAAACTGTAGGCCACGTTGATCCGCCATCCAACAGTGTTAATGTCTAACAAATGTAGTATAATCCGTGCCAGGTAGAGAAGGGTATCGGCCCCCAAATGCCCTGGTACGGCTGAGAGAAGAGAGAGTCCGCTCTCCCTCTCGAAATGCTCTCACATGGCCACGCGTATATAGCCTCTGCCAGGCAAGTCCTACTCACTGCCTTCTCGTGGCACTACTGTTGTTTACGAAAATGAAAGGACGAAAAGCGAATGTACGGCGCTTTAGCCGGATTTCAAACCAATGCTCCACATGGGTTCCAGTATCCTGCAGGAACAAATGGCGTATGAACCAGTTGTTGGTCACTGGCTTCCATGGGACTGCATCTCCTTACGATGCTCCACTGCCTTGTGGATCAGACCTTCAGGTCGAAGGCTCGTGGAGTGGCCCTCTAAGAAAACCACCTGCTTCGGTTTGGGCATCCGGGCAGTATCACAGCCCTCACACATATCGAATGGGATTTGTTTGGCGCATATGTATTTGCTGCCTCCTTGTACCAATATCTATGTGTTAAAATAATAATAATAAGGTATCCATCTCAGACAATGGATGAATGTTTGCGTAAGATCATGAATCGATTGAAGTTATACAGTAACATCTTTGGATGCCGGTTCAATGGTCTAGAGGTTCAGCGTTCAAAAGTGAGAATAAAGGTTCTGGCTTTGAGCGCTGCGTGGGGGGTTTGTGGATGCGTATTGCTGATGAGTCACATTGTAGAATGAAACGGCCGTGCAATCGTTACAGGTTTTCAGTGGTGGTCTAACTTATATCGACTCGTGAATTCAGATATATTTATTGTTGAATTTCGTATCAATAAATCAAATGTTTCATGTTCATTGTGTGATTTTACGATAGTCGATTTAAAATTAGATGAGAAAGTATTAGATTATTTGTAAGTTAACTAGTATGAATATGAATTAGATTATGGCAACTATCCTACAACCATCTTCGATTACGGTTAATTTCGGTTAGACCCTTTTGTTAACTTACTTAACAGGCAATGTTATTTGAATAGTAAAAATTCGCATATTTCTTTGTGCCGTTGCAAGGCCAGTGAAATGTCACTGAGCCCTAGCCAAATCATCTGGATGTTAGGTCACTGAACATCGAACAGGTCATCGATCTCTGTAAAGGTCAAGGATAACCAACGTGCATCAGCTAATCATACACCATGGGCTTGTGTCTACTTTAACTAATATATTTCTGTAATAATGTCCTTTGTGTTGTAGACTTCAAAATATCTATAATACCTTAATACGTTAATGGGGTAGTCTACGTAAGGTGCTGACGACGAGGTGTGACTTCGACGTTAGCTGGTTCGTTACACCATTTCCGTTGAACCCGAGTAGGCCTCCAATCATTCGATATAGATCATCTTCATTGGTGAGTACTAATCACACAACAGACTCTAGCTAAAATATTGATTGCATAACTATCACTCAATGATTCATCCTCCTCCCCATGTATGTATGTATGTACTTAAATCCCATTATTAGTCCTTGCTTTGCATTGTTGAACCCTTATGCAATTTGGCTATAAATTTGCCTATGAGCTTATAGCTTTTTTATCTGTGCTATCCTTTTAACCTTTTGACTTTAATCACCGTTTGCATTTATATTATAACAGCTATTAAGGTGATCGTTTATTGAAGCAAAACCACTACAAAATCTTTACTAATCCCTTTTACCCAATAGTTCTTTAATAGTAATTACATCAGCCCTTGTGGTCTGGTGTGTGACGAAACCTCAGCACGGATACAGAAGGCTCGACTAGCTTTCGCCAACTTGCGTCATTTATGGCGTAGGCGAGATATCCGTCTATCGACCAAAGGACGTGTTTACTGTGAAGCAGTTCGTTCCGTCCTACTTTATGGCAGTGAAACGTGGCCGGTAAGAGTAGAGGATATTCGTAGGTTACTAGTATTCGATCATAGGTGTCTTCGAAGCATTGCTCGTATATCGTGGGACCATCGAGTAAGTAATGCAGTTGTTAGGAAACGGGTACTAGGTAAGGATGGCAAATCAATTGATGAAGTAGTGAAACTTCATCAGTTGAGATGGCTGGGACACGTGTTACGTATGCCCAACGACCGACTGCCTCGACGTGCGGTGTTTTATGGTGTAGGAGTAGGTTGGAAGAAAACTAGGGGAGGCCAGACCAAAACATGGCACAAGTCCATGAAGTCACTGACAAGTGGACTGAGTCATATTGGTAGGTGTAGACTACCTGGTTGGGGACCACGAGATGATAGCAACCGATGGTTAGAGACCCTGAATGACATGGCTCAAAATCGTTCGCAATGGTGCAGGTGCATCCACTCTCTGTGTTCTCCCAAATTCTAATCTTCTGAATTCTTCATGTCCCTTTTTTCCTCTTTCCAAATTTATTTCACTGGATTATACTCTTTAAATAACATCTCCAAACCCTTATCTTCCCGATTACTGCTTATACTCTTATTACATCTACCACTACGGGATTTGAATCGACAACTGCATCTCTGTGCTAATGTGGTGTGGCAACTCGAACTGATGTACGTACGTACGAAGTTCTACGTTGTTACTGACTCACTACTGACTGAATAATTACATAATTGTGAAATGAAAGTAAATATATGACATTATAGAATACTCTGAAAATATACATGAAGTAAACATGTTTTTTTTTAATTGAACCATTCAATAATACTACTTAAATGCTTCTGTTACTAAGCTAATTATTATTGATTTTAACTCATAATACAAAATCACTTTAACGGAATACACATAACTACGCAAACCAATTTGATTGTTTTTTGTTTTTTTTTGTGTATGGTTTATTGTAACATACCTACTGAAAGTACCATGTGAACAACAAAGAGGTAAAAGTTTTCTTTTTTTGTTTCTTCTTTTTTTATTTTTGCCTTAATTTACTACTAAATTTATAATTAATTGACATATTACGATACATTCACTCTATATCTCTCTCTCACACACACACAAACACACACACGCGCGCACACACACGAACACATACACACACATATATTAGAAAATCAAGAACATACATTTTTTGTCTATGTGTAGTCTGAATATTATCAATCAGCATTTGTAATTTGTAAATAGTCCTTTATAAATTTGTTCATATAATTTAAGTATACTATTCTCCTCATAATGATTTCATCATTATATAGTTACATGTCTATTGTTACATAACAATTATAACAGCTTAGAAAGAAAAAAAAAGAAGAACAAAAACAACGTTCATTCATCTCATTATCATTCAATCATAAATCATGATGAAATTTCAGTTGACACAAAGATTTTGGTTTCTTGTATTCATTATATTGAATTGTTTTGTTGCCGTAAGTAAATATTTAATTTTTGTAAATATTATAGTGATTTTAATAGTTGAGATCATGTATCGATTGAAGTTAGATCATTATGAAAAAGCTAGAAGTATTGAACACCTGTGGTCTAATGGTTCGAATCTCTTGAGGTGGTATCGTGGATATGCATTGTTGTGGAGTCTCACAATAGGATGAAACGACCGTTCAATGCTTCTATATTTTCCATGGTTGTCTAGCTTCAATTGATTTATGATCTGAATCGTTGAAATCTTTAATTATTATCAGAAAGCGCGGGGCAGTTTTATGGAGATTTTAGTCATTTTAATAGTTGAATTCACATAATTCAATTAAAGTTAGACCACCATTGAAAACCTGAAAGTACTGAACAGCCATTACATCCTAGTATAGAACTCTTTAGTAGTACACATCCACAATGAAATAGCCATTCAATACTTCTAGGTTATCCATGGTGTATTTCCTTTTTCTTTTTAAAATCTTATACTAACTTCTATTCTTTTATATTCTATTCTAGGTAACAAGTTTTATATTATTTGTATTAAGTATAAAAGCCGAGGATAATCTACTTAAATATAAATTAATATTACAATATACAATACCAGCTATTTATCCAACAGGAATATTTACAGGAAGTCTTGGTTTAATAACAGCATGTTTAGGATTTATTGGATTATGGAAACAAATGAATATTTTATATCTTTTAGTAAGTTTTTTTTTCTTAATTTTCACTTGGATACAATCAAATTTTTATATTTTAGCATGTAATTTGTTTGACCATAGCAACAATCATCAATCTATGTATAGCTATTGTTACATTGATAACTGATCAGCAAGTTAGTTGTAATAGAATTATAATTAAATATTTATTATAGTTTTTTATAAATGCCAAACAAGCATTAGATACTACTATTAAATATTATTATAAGAATGATGAATATGCAGACGAATTTGATGAATTACATAGAAAAGTAAGTTAATTCAATGGTAGAAAAGATTTGTAGCTCAGATGGATGATTTTGATAAAGTTTTGTTCTCTGAACTGGATGGTTTATGTCGTGGAGCTTTCGTCGTTCTTCTACTTCAGGTAGAAATTTGTGCTGATGATGTCGTTCAGAAGAAGAACGATGAAAGCTTCACGACATAAACCATCCAGCTGAGAGAGCAAAACTCCATCAAAAAGTTAATTCAATGTTAGATAATGTTTCATTGTTGTTGTTCTTTTTTAAAAAAATAGTTTTTCTGTTGTGGAGTTAATTCGTATGCTGATTTTAAAAAAGCTAAAGTATTAATACCATTCTCGTGTAGAGTTGGTCAGTATGTTTATGCAAGAGTAAGTCAGTATTTATTTAATTTTTTTACATTTGTATAATAAGCTTATTTTAAATTAGACATTAACATTATTAGATAATGGCTCAGTGGTCTAGAGGTTAAGAGTTTGATCGCAAGATTAAAGGTCCTGGGTTCGAATCTCGTATGTGGCATCATGGATATGCACTACTGTGGAGTCTCATATTAAAACGGAACGGTTGTCCGTTGCTTCCAGGTTTTTAGTGGTGGCCTAACTTTAATCGAATCATGAATTCAACTATTAAATTACTAAAATTTCTTTTTCTCTCTCTGTGTATATACAAGGTTTTATGATGGATAGTGCTTTTTTTCTGGGTTCCTCGTCAACCTTAATAAGTGTTGAAATTGACATTATATGCTTTAAGAATTTACAGGGTCGTGAATGCACACTGCTGAGGAGTCCCACAATAGGCCGAAACACCCGTCCAGTGCCCCTATGTTTTCCATAATTGTCTAGCTTCAATTGACCTATGATCTAAACTATTGAGATTTACAGGATGTTTCACCTGTTGGACACCGATTAAGAATGTAGCATAATAATAAGTTTAAATTAGAATAAATCTATTCACTTTGCGAAGCTGACTTTCAAGTTGTCGAAATCTTTTGCTAAAATTGACTTAACAGTAGAACGCCGCTATACATTCGAATTCTGATAATTAGACACATAATACTTTTATCGCCATAAACATTGAATCATTATTCAACAGATCATGATATTAGAACTTCCCTCATCAAGTAACAAATCCATTGAATCACATCATGAACTCAACTGAAAAAAAAAATCATTAGGATCGTAAATTGAATACAGCAATATTGTAATTACTTTAAATGAAAATCGAGATGGTGCTAAACGTTGTAGTCTGTTTATTAGGTTAAGTGAAATATATTACAAATTAACTATGCAAACTGTCTACTTCAACTGTGAATATAAATCCCAACAACTCACACTAAAGTAGTTAAGTCGATAAGCAAGAAGGTTAAATATCAGTTTTTAAGTGAAGAAAAAAAACAACTGAAGAATTAGTTTTTTTCACTTTTTATTGTGAAAGATTTTTCATCATGTAATAGGTTACACAGTTCCAGTGGATGATATACTAATATAAAGCATTACTTCATATGAAAGAAAAGTTGAGTTGTGTGTAACAAACGAAAACATCTAAGCAAAGATGAATAGTGGCTAGCAGTGGAATGCAGGACGCGTGTTTTTTTTTCTATTTGAGACTCGTCAGCTGGGTGAACCTGGATCTCAGATGTTGATGTTTACTCTGGGACTCGAACTCAATATCGTTTACTTTAAATGCCATCACGTTCGTTATCCACTTAGCTACTGAGTCCTGATACCTATCTAATGTGAAATGAGGTGAAGTTATATTCACTTGGTATTTTTTACTTGTTATTTAGGACTGCAATTGATCAGTGATTATCCATCTTTGCTTAAAAACTTGTGACTTAAGGCTATATCGAGGCAATCCGCATAGGATGCATACATACCAACGAGAGATTGATCGATTGCAGTTTTAAATAACAATGGTATGATACAAGTAAACAACACCAAGTGAAGAAAACATCTAAATAAATTCTAAGCCGAAGAAAAGATATGATCTTTAGACATTGATTTTAATCTAGACTGAAATACAGTATCTGAACTTTTGTTATCGTTAAACACTGGTAGCAATTAGAAGCGATTTTAACTGGTCATATTCACAATCATGCTTATACATAATTCCTTTCTTACTGTACGAGTTATTTACTTTACTTCATAAGGATGGTTGGAAGAAAGTTAGGGGCGATCAAACCAAAACGTGGCATCAGTTGTTGAAGTCACTAACTTCTAGTCTTAGCCATGTTGGTAGATGCAGACTACTTGGTTGGGGTCCGCGTGACTATCGTAGCCAATGGTTGGAGACTCTTGGTGACATGGATCAGAATCTATCACAATGGAGTCGGTGTATACACTCTCTGTCTTCCTTAAACTAAGAGATTAAAATCGCTTCATATCTTTCTTTCTACGAACTAATTCTTTCTTCCTGTGCTATATCCTTATTGCAATCTTTCTTTTATATATTACCACCTCTGAATTAACTACTTTTATCAATCCGGTGTCCATCTTGTTGTGTTATTGAGGTATGGCAACTTGGACCGATGCATATATGTGGCTGGTCCTACGTTGTAGCTGACTGACTGACTTCATAGGGATATTTTCGACACTAATTTCCACCAAGTTCGTTGAAACTGTTATATATATGCTATTATTGTTATTAACAAGTCCTTCATTCTATCCAGTGTTAGCCAATAACGTTCTACAAGATACGTTGACTAAACTCAGATACAACAATATCACTGATGTATCTTATTTATGCAATTAATAGTAATCAAGACGAGTGTAGATAGATGGAGATATAGATACTCATTATATTTTATTCTGATACTCAACAAGAATATGTATTCCCATTTGATATGCATATAGTTACTAATATAATGCAAAATAATTAATCAGTCAGTCACCACGTCAGACCAGGCACATATATGCATCAGTCCAAGTTGCCACAACTCATTAGCACAACAAGATGAACAGCGAATTCATAGAGGTAGTCACTCCAATGGAAGTAATGCATTAAAGAAAGATTGTGTATAATGACATACAGAAAGATTTAGTACGAAGAAAGAAAGTTATAAAGCAATTTTAATCTCTTAGTTTAAGAGATGACAGACAGTGTATACACCGGCTCCATTGTGATCGATTCTGAGCCATGTCACCAGGAGTCTCCAACCATTGGTTACGATAGTCACGCGAACCCCAACCAAGTGGTCCGCACCTACCAACATGGCTCAGATTAGAAGTTAGTGACTCCAAGCACTGACGCCACGTTTTGGTTTAGCCGCGCACCTGACTGTCTTCCAACCGTCTCCAACACTAGTCAGCATGCGCATCGTGGTAATCATTGTTCAGGCATACGTAACACGTGGCCCAACCATCTCAGGTGAAGAAGATTCATAACGTCATCAACTGATTTACCATTATTCCCTAATACCTCACTATTACTTACCCAGTGATCCGAGCCGATGCGAGAAATAATACAAAATAACTGTCAGCTGTTTTTATTCGATAAATACAAATCTGCTGCAGAGAAATGAGCGTCTTCTGGAGTCAAAATTGGCATGTTACTTAAACTAATATGAGGTTAAAATAGATCTTCAATGGAAAAAAAAATACTGAAATAAATCATTTTCAGTTGATCGACTATTTGGAATCAGTTTCTAATATTTTAAACAATTTCACATCTCGTACAATCTTCTTCACTTGTAAGCCTGAATAAACTTGAATTCATGTTATTCTCTATTTATTTGATGTGATTCATTAATTATTCAATATTTTTCATTAGTTTAAACATTGAATGATCTTAGCTAGACCATCAATAAAAACCGGTTAGGACTAGACAGCTATTTCGTTCTAGTATGAGACCTTATAAAAGTGGGTAGTCACAAATCAACTACAAGGTATTAAACCTAAGATCATTCTTTTGAGCACCAGTACTCACCTTCTATAAACTTCAATTTACTGAAATCGATTAAAATAAATCAAACATCGTATCAAACAAAAATAATCAATTTTCATCGAGTGTTATTTACTTACGTACTTACTTCTTTACGCCTGTTACTCCTCGTCGAGGAGCACAGGCTGCTCACCACTATTCTCCATCCAACCCTGTCTTTCCCAATCCTTTCCAGCTCATTCCAGTTGTTATTCATCCTTTTCATATTTCATTTCATTTCCCCACGTAATGTGTTCTTCAGAATTCCTCTTTTCCGTTTCCCTTCAGCATTACAAGTTAGGGCTTGCATCGTGATGCAGTTCGATGTTATACGTAATGCATGTCCCATCCATTTTCATCGTCTTTTCTTAATTTACTATTCAGTTAGAAGCTGGTTTGTTCTCTCCCACAGTAGGCTTTTACTGATGATATCCGGTCAATGGATGTTGAGTATGCTGTGTAGACAACTATTTAAAAGTACTCGTACCTTCTTGATGATGGTTGTAGTAGTTCCGCATGTTTCAACTCCATACAGTAGAACTGACTGTCTTGACGTTCGTATTAAAAATTCCGACTTTAATATTAGTCGTTTAAAGATCCCCGTCATATTAAAAGACTAGTATTTGAACGAAGAATATTCTTTTCGATAAATTCTCATCAGGTTCTACAATTATATATCCAAATTAATAATCCGAAAAATGTCCAGGTTAAGGGCATAGTACATCGTTTAAAGCATGTGAATTTAGGATTGTGATAAACAAAATACGATAAAATTGTTAATGTTAATATGACTCATATAGAATGTAAACTTGAATCTGCGTATATTTTAAGTGAGATTGAAGATCCATGATATAGGTGGTGGTTGTAGGTAGTCAACAGGAAACCCTGGACCCGGGTTTCGTGCTACTTGGCACTCGTCAGCAAGGTGTACCTGTAATCTTGAGGGAACTGGTGCTCCCTGGCGGATTCGATCTCGTGTCACCCAACTCCACAGTCAGAGACGTTACCACTGAGCTATCCGAGCCGTGACTAATCTCCTGTAGGACTGAGATGTAATCACAATTGATTGATCACTGGGTGGTGATCAATGTCATGCTTGTCTAGTCCTTATTAGTGCAGATCGAATGTTATCGATCCATGATCAGAATAAATACGGGTCAAATAGGGTGAGAGAGAAATAATAGTGCAATTACAATTCGACCAAATAAGTAAGACGTAATACGGTGGGATGAATGCGAAGTGAATGAATCATGTATGGGGGAGATTAATGATGTTTAACCAATAATACGAGTAATAATAATAATTATTATTATACAAAGATTTGTGAACAAAGATAACAGAGACAGGTACATTTGACTGCGAAAAGTCATAGTCAAATTAGGTCATTAAATAGTTAAGATCACAATTGAATAATTGGCCTTAGTGTTGGCCAGGGGAGGAGGAGTGGTTGAAGATATTGATTGTCTACACACAGCTCCGGTTTCTTCATCCAGATAGCTACTGCTTCAGCCGTGGAGCGAGTTATATTGGTCGATGTTCTAGGAATTTACATTTTCGTGCTCGTGAACACCTTCCAGCGTGGCTAAACAAAGGTTTAATGAAGGTGGTGAATAGCTCAGTATTGGCCCATTTAGTACAAACCGGTCATAGTGCCAGTATAAATCAATCTTTTTTAATTATTTATAAGGTAAGTAATTTTTTAACAAAACTGGTCAGACTTTATTATTATCAGAATGGGTTTTTTTGGAGAGTTTTAGAAATTTCACAGGTTGAAATCAGGAGTCGATTGAAGCTAGACCACCATGGAAAACCTGGAAACACTGGACGGCCGTTTCGTTCTAGTATGTGACTCCTCAGCAGTGCGCATCTACGATCCCGCACCACGCGGGCTTCGAACCCAGGACCTACTGGCTTCGCGCGCGAGCACTTAACCACTAGATTACTGAGCCGTCATCCAACGGTGTTAATGTCTAACTTTGCTGTTAAGGAGTCCCATACTAGGACGAAACGACCGTCCAGTGCTTCCAGGTTTTCCATGGTGGTCTAGCTTCAATCGACTCATGATTTCATCCTGTGAAACTTTAATATTAGCTGAAAATTCTTTTTATCGATTGTACTATTATGAAACGTTTTGATTTCATTCAGATATTTCATCAAGATCAATATAAGATTTCTTGTTCAATGATTTTGATTATGGATTCATAATAATCATTTACCTTTTTGATCGATTCCCATATGATTGATTATACTATGTTTTTTTCTTTTTTTCTAATTCTCTATCAGGGTTGTTTTGATGAATTAAGTGAATACGTACAATATTATATAACATTATTATCATCAATTTGTTTTACTACATCATTTATCTATGCTGTATTCATAGGTGTAGCAATTAGAAATCTTCATAAATCAATTAAAGGAATAAATTCATCTTCATAATAAAAAAAAATCAAATATAAATAAAAACTTATTGTCATTTCTTTTTAATTTATGAAAAACAAAAAAGTAACATTCAATTGTTGCCATGGCAATTACATCACAAAAAAAAATTTTTTTTTGAGAATTGTTTCGTTTTTAAACATTGAACATGTTCATTGTAGACAGATTTTTCTTTTTCTTTTCCTCTTTTTTTTTGTCTTTTTTTCGAGGGATACCAAAGTAAATTTTAAAGCAAATCATGTTAATAATCAAGTTAATTTTTTTTATTCACATGTATAAGTAACCTGTGACTTTGAAATTGATAGTTTAGTTTTCAATACAAAATATTAGGTTAACAATAACAAGGTAGATAAGTTGAATATAAGATAAGAAGTTAAAGAAATGATCGAACAAATCAACAACAATATATTCAATAAGAAAATGTCCTATTTCATTGACTATTAAATTAAGTTTATAAGCATCTAGGTAAATATACACATGCTTATTAGTGACTGGATTCAACAGGTATATACCGGAGTTCTAGTGAGAAGCAGTGACTAGTGGAGTTCAATCGGGTACGTTGTGAGATAATAACTAACTAAAGAAAATGGTAGATGTGTCGATCAATTTCGTGTGTGTTTTGCCTACAGCTTTTTTCTCCTTATTTATTTTTTTCCTTACTGAAGTCCATTTATCACCACTCAGGACAGCCACACCGGGACTATTTCGAACGGTGACAGTTTTATCCGGGTCTTCAATTTCGACTAGAGGTGTATGATTGCCGATGTCAGTATCTAGCGGCACTTCACTCCTCGTTAATATTAACGGAGATTTCACTTTCCCGTCAATCGCAGTTGGATGTTTAGCAGCACTTACTACATTGACACATTCTTCGCCGTCGGTGCTCGTGTTACCAGTGCTACAGCCATCGATTTTCTTGTAGGCCAAAGCCAATAGGCTCATAGCCTCCTGAATTAGTAACTTTTTATTTGTACAGCAGAACATACAAAGCCAATGTGGGTTAGGCTTCGAGCATCTTTTGTATGCCAAAGGACTTAGGCGTGTACACATCTTATGGTACAACTTTTTACAATCATCGCACTGCATCCCTTCCTCAACGGGGAACAAGCAGTTTGGTTGTCCACATTTATGAGTCTTACCAACCATTTTAATTTTGATTAAAAAGGTTTAAAACACAAAATGATCACAATGTGAACACTAGTATCAGTGAAGGGGTAAAAAAAGATACCACAGGACAAAGTTGAGCAAAAATTACAAACTTTAACCAAAGTACTTTTAGTTAAAGTAGACCAAGAATGCTTTTTGGTGCAACAAGTACCTAAAGCAAGGATAATCACAACAAGTACAAAAATCACTGCCCTTTTTTAAACGAGTGCGGTAGCGGAGCGGAGCGGGTTTGCTCCCTACAGGGTAAACTTCAATCAATTACAAAAACAACTATTCTAGCTCCGGTAGTTGTGCCGTGCTTCGATGTGACCTGTTTCTATTCAGAAGGGCCTACTAAACTTCACCAACTTATTTGGCTGGAAGAGGAGGGGCGGGCATTAGTTATATTTTAACCGTTTGTGATGAATGTATCATTTCAGGAAATTCAAATCTAATTAACTTCTTTAATGTTTGTTCACTTATGAATTTGATTATCTCGATTAATAATGTATTCATGAATCAGTATATACTAACATTTGCATCCTCTAATCTAGAACTGATGTGGAAAACTACATTGTCCAAAGATTCTAAGTTACTAACTAACTAACATAATATTTTATAATACAAAGAATTATATATATTTAAAATAGTAAACTGTTGACCTGAGAACTTAAAGTAGACTACAGAGTTATAATGTTACTTAAATCAAATAATCAGTAACATAATTTCAATATTCATTTAGATATACTTTCATTAATACATACCATATGTATTGTATTTTGTTATTGGAACCTATTTGATGACGTCACTATTTCAGTGGAGAAAATAAAAACAAATATTTTCACATAGAAATGAGTAAACAAAGAGAGAACGAAGGTTGGTGTAAAATAATACTACTTACTTACGCCTGTTACTCCCAATGGAGCATAGGCCACCAACTAGCATTCTCCGACCCACTATGTCCACACTTCCTTCCTTTCTAGTTCTATCCAATTGTTATTCATTCTTCTCATTTCTCGGAGTAATATGTTCTTTGGTCTTGCATTTCTCCTTTGGCCTTGAGGATTTCATGTAAGGGCTTCCTTTGTGATGCAGTTGGGTGCTTTCCTAATGTGTATCCTGTCCACTTCCAGGGCTTCTTCCTGATTTCTTCCTCCATTGGAATCTGATTTATTCTCTCCCACCGTTGGTTGTTACTGATAATGCAGAATAATACGAATTCATCTTATTCCGTTAGGTTATCATCAGTTGTTTATAACTTATCAGATTTAAAAATCAGTGTTATGACAAATATTGACATACTTATATATACGAGGGTGATGAAAGATGAATATGTGTATCATTATTGGCTTTATATCTGACTCCAATTTGATCATTTCTGATTGCTATTGAAATATATATATGCATATATCGTCAATCCTCGTATGTAATTATCGACTTAGATCACGTTAGTGTATAACAGAATTAAATAAGTCAAATACGACAATGAATGTTTGAATACGTATATGTTGTACAATCGTCGATCGGATCAGATAATCAGAGAATAGCAGTGAATGAAGCGAACAAGAGAGAGCGAAGCGAAACGACACGCAATGGAGAAGACGTGTCAGCCTACTCGATTTAACCGAAAGTGACAGACATGTGAGAAATAGGATAAGAGGTGTACACCCACATACTCTCAAATAAAAACAGCCAAGGTTAATAAGTGAATAATTCACAAACTCAAAACACGACTCAAGAATAATGGATAAATTGCCCATCCAGAAGCTAGTATAAATTATATTTGGATTAACATAATAACTGACACTATATTATGATATAGCGAAGATTTCAACAGAGTTCAATAAAGTCATAAATATTGTTTGTTTCGGGTAGATAAATAAATAAAGTTTGAAAGGGAAAGTTCCAAAACATTGAAATTGTATTTAGAACTCATGAAGTTAACAAACATAACATTAATGGTAATAAAGAAAGAAATGAATTGAAATCAGTCAGCTATGAATTCAAAAAAAAAGATAATGATGTGATTTCAAACTTCAGAATAAGTTGAAATAATGAATAACGTAATAAATAAAAAGGGATAAAATGTTACCTGGACAAAGAAAGGTTTATTACTGCCTCTTTCCGGGTACATTGATCTGGTTTTAGACGTTTGATTACTATCCCTTTGGAAGTGTATATTTGACTTTATAAATAAACCAGGTCTGTTGTAAGATATCAGCTCACTGAAGACAATGATATACGGTAGCGCAACTTCGTGGATTGGTTGAAGTTAGACATTAAAACCGTTGGATGCTGGCCGGTTCAGTGGTCTAGTTGGTTGAGCGCCTGGCGCAAGACTGATAGGTCCTGGGTTCGAATCTCGCGGGGTGTGGGATCGTGGATGCGCAGTGCTGAGGAGTTCCACAATGTGACGAAACGGCCGTCCAGTGCTTCCAGGTTTTCCATAGTGGTCTAGCTTCAAATGACTCATGATTTAAATCTGTGAAATATAAATGGATTCATAATAATAAGATTCACATTGTGTAAATAATGTAGGCAATAATTTAACCAAAATGGTAACCAAATTGCTATATATTTTATTAACGTATATATTCACCAGCCTATTACTGTTAAATAAGTCACATAAAAAAATAGTTGAGATCATGAGTCAATTGAAGCCACACCACCATGGAAAACCTGGAAGCACTGGGTCCCATACTAGGTTTTCCATGGTGGTCTAGCTTCAATTGACTCATGGTTTCAATCAGTATAATAATCCTTGACAGGAAACTAACTGATCGGTTAAAGAATTGTTATAACAAAGCAAAGAAACTTTGATAGTTGATTCCAGTTGAAGATGGAAAAAAACACAATGTAATAAGTATCTGTTAGCCTTGAGTTTGACATCAGCCATAGCTTGAATGTGTTAAACTATTGTAGACATACATCACATCAGATGATAGAGCATTAGTGTAAACTTATATTGTACTAAAACATTTCACTTCGAAATATGGTCGACATATCTAAGGTTTGAAATATTCCCATATTATAAACAACATTGTTCGCTTATATATGTTGTCCTAAATATCTAAGGTTGACGTTTTTATGATAGTTATATGTAAATTAAGGTGTTGAAGAAGTAAAATTATGGACAAATATAGGAATAAAAATCAAACTAATGAGAAATACAACTAAAACAAACAAGTGAACAATGACCTGTTTAACGTCAACAAGAACCAATCAACATCGAGGTGTAAAGGACAAGCCTCTACCTGATGTTTGTGCTGATGATGTCATTCAGACGAACGATGAGAGCCCCATTACGAAACCATCCAGCTCAGAGAACGAAACCCAACAAAAAATTAAGATGCTTATAATGAAAAAAATATACGATTAACAGTACTTACTTACTTTCTATATTAATTGTTATTGTGGTTGTTTGAAGAAGCATCGGTCTCGTGACTTCCGAAGAATATTGGCTTTCATCATGAGGTGTCATAATTCTACTAGATGCGGATCCTTCAGCTCGGAGGACAGAGTTTGAATGGTTTAGTTTGTTTATTCTGGTTAGTGTTGTTTTAGAAAGTTGTTTTCAATGTGATGGGTTTGCTGACCTCATGACCAACCTACCTCCTTTACCCGAACCTGAGACCGGGAGTAACTCTAGAAGATCTACACGCGGATTTACGATATATATGTGTAAAACATCATACTTGATGAGTTATTTTCATTTTATTTCAAAATAACCGAACTTAGATAGATGTTGTAAATCACAAGCCTTGAGTATAAATACTGAATCGGAAAATGTAAGTATAAACATAAACATCACTACGAAATCAGTGTCGGCTTACAACTTGATAGTGAATTAGTCA